AAAATTTTTTTTTTTTTTTTTTTTTTTTTTTTTTGATAGAAACTACAACTAAATTGGTTTCTAGCGCACCTTTTCAGAGATAAGGCTTATCTAAAACCAAGGTGAATTCCCAAAGTAAGTAGCCAAGAATGCGAACTCAGATTATGATAGTTGTGAAACCCCCTTCGGATGCCTCTCTTTAAAAGCCAAGAATCTGACACTTTTAGAAGCACCATATGCTCAAATTGAACCTTAAGATGATCTGATTTAATTCCTAACACTTTCTCAAACCAAGGAAGAATGGTCAAAGAAGCAAGAAATTTGGAGATTTCTCTTTCTTATAAGAATCAAGTTTACTTTGAAATAATAAAATATACAAATGGAAAAATCCTAAAAAAAGCACCCAAAAGATATACAAAAACTCTCTGCAATTGGCACAATTTTTTTTTAAAAAAAAAATGCCACAAGTAATAAAATCAACGTGGTTGTACAATTGTATCCTTGAGTTCTAAAATCAACGTGGAGAAAGGAGAACTTCAAAAGGAAGAAACAAAAACAAAAATCTCCCCAGGGTTATCCAAAAATGGAATCCTTCACCTATTAGCAAGAAGCCATAAAATTTATTACTAAAGTTCCCTAATAAAGGTAATCTTTATAACAACTAAACTACAATCATGTTTACATATAAAAATAAATAACGAAAACAGAGAGAGAATACTACCGAATCATATGAGATAGTGATGAGGAAGGTATTACACTGTACGTGTATGAATCGTATGGAGATTTATCCCTAGCGCCAAACTCCTCTGCAGAAATTGTGACTTGTACTTGCTGTGCTGTATGCTTTTGAGACCCAAAAATTAAGAAAGATATGGAGAAAAAGAAAGACAAAGATAAGTGAAGCACTGACAGAGGACAAAATGTTACTCAATACATAAGTAGAATAAACTAAAACTGATTGTCAAAACAGACCATAGAATCGGAATTATATGGAATTTGAAATCCCAGACACTTCTCTCCATCCAAGCAACTTGTCTGCAAGAAATAAAATATAAACTAATAACCTGGCGAGATGGTGATAAGAGATTGAGAGTTATCACCAGGTGAACATAAATAAGCAGCTACTAGTGAAATGACATCAGTATAGTTTCTAGAGGAAAACAGAAGCATTTGATCAAACCTTAAGGACACAAGAGCGCATATCAACAGTTGACATTATCTCTGCCCTCTGTCCAAGACCAAAATTTGAAGAATTCTGCCACGAAATGTAAAGTGATTCCAAAGGTATCTTGCCCCACAAGCAATAACCTGCAACTGCTACATCCAAAGAAACGCAATTTTATTAGAGATTTTCATTGGACTTTTAAATTGGAAAGAAACAACAGAACTTTCCAGGAAGCAGAGAGATAGTTCCTTGTTTTCTGGGAAATAGGAATATATTGCTTTTATGTTCCCATATTAGGGTAGGTTATCCAAATAATCTTACAACCAAGGGTTAGCTTCCCTGCATGCTACTTCCTTAAACCAGGGCTAAGATTTTACTCCCTATATTTTATGGGTTCAAAAGGTTCTTATCAAAAAAATAATAGCCCTCAAAAAAATGCAAAATCAACAAGGTTCTCAAGTATCCCTCAGGGCAAGGGAAGCATACCGTTTTTTTTTTTTTTTTTTTGACCTCTTCTTGATATAACTCAATGCCAAATTAATTCAAAGTTTGAGCCCAATAAGAAGTAAAAAATTAGCTCTACCAGCAAACAATTGGTTATAATTTGACACACTAAATCAAATAAGGATGTGGAATCATATTAGACAGAAGAATCCATAATAGAAGCAACTCAATGGAGGAAAAGGCATACCAGGAACAGATGCCATGTATAGAGACCCATCAACTGAATCTACTCCGGACAAAGTATTTGTGGATCCAACTGAGACACGCATATAGACCAAATATAACGTAGTTCCTTGAATAAATCTGGCCATCAGTAAAAGTTAAACATGAACACCTACTGTGGCTAACAAATAATATAGCAAGTGACCCAGATTTTGCCTCCACAGCTAGCTTGTTAATTTCAGGGAGGATGAAATTAGCTACAACTTGAGAACTGCATTCCCCTCTGTTGATGCCAGTTAAGAGGCAAGCTCGATTGAAGCGATATACACCAGAGAACTAATGGTTTAAAAAAGGAATGAAGAAAACTTATAATTAGATATAATAAAATGTAACAAGCAGTAGGATGAACAATAAGGGCTTAAAAGAGTGTTTAAAATGCAGAAAACCACCTAATAATTAATATTCATTCAATGAACGAACAGAGCTGAAAACTACAACAGGCCTTCTTACCTCAGCAACTGCAATGTCCGAGACTAATCTTCCCAAGATGACATACACAGGAAACAGATTATGTGCCTGCCCACCCCCACCCGAAGTCCTAGAAATTGAAATTGTCATCTGGATCCTACAGATTCAAGACCAAAACTAATAAATAGTAGATATTAAAATCAAGATTCAAAATCCAACAATGGAAACCACCGCCATTGAAGAAAGAGAAAGAACGTAATTGACAGAAGATAACTACCAAGAATGGAGGCATAGAGGTTCAAAGAGAAAGCAAGCACAACTATCTAACGAGAGAAGCAAGAATGAATTCATACCAAAAGGAATTTAAACAAGGTTCCACAATGAAGTTTTCTTCTCAAAAATAAACTGCTACCATTAACTACACAAATTTAACTAATCATATAAAAAGGTCGAAAACACTTGGACTTCTTTTTTTGAAGTTTTCTCTCACCTCACTTCGAAGATCGTCTCCCCTCACTAAGGCTCAAACTTGAGCAAATCCTTAAAACTCCTTGTTTCTTTAATTTATCTGAATCTAAAATTTATCTTTGGTACACCAATTCTTTTGACATGCAGTGTACTTGCCTAATTATGGCACGTATCTTTTTTTTTTTTTTTTTGT